TGGGCATGTCCTCAGCTGCCTGTTCCGGTTCTCCCCGTCGGGGAGTCCTGTGGACCCGGAGCCCCTCTTTTTTCTAGGAAATACACTGATCGGCTCCCAGGACTGGGAGTAACCTTTGCCTTAAACTTTCTCTCGAACTTGGACATCTCGGTTGTGTCCAGCTCCCACCTCGGACCATCTGGCAGCCCACGTGTCCCTGGGAGCGGGACCCCCCACCCGCAGGGTGGATCGAACCCATGACAGCGAGGAAGACGCCCTCAGAGCAAATGCAGTGCAAACACTAAAGAGTTAATAAAGACTTAACCGCCGAAACCGGTTTGGCTCAGTGGATAGAGCGTCGGCCTGTGGACTGAAGGGTCCCGGGTTCGATTCCGGTCAAGGGCATGTACCTGGGTTGCGGGCACATCCCCAGTAGGAAAAACTTAACCCACAGCAAAGGCGTGTTTCTTTCCTGGGCACAGTGATTACACGTAGGTGCTGTCCAGCCGGTATTGCTCAGTGGTGGAGGTCACGGTTCGATTTCTGGTTCATTGCCCAGGTTGGGGGCTCCATCCCCAATGTGGGGTGTGCACGAGGCAGCCAATGGATGGTTCTCATCATTGATGTTTCTATCTCTGTCCCTCTCCCTTCCTCTCTATGAGATCAATAACATATTAAATAAAAATACAAAACCTTTTTTAAAACCCAGCAAGCTAAATGGCAATACCAGTATACATACATTGATATAAATATATGCGATTTAATATGTTTGCTATTTTATTGTATTGACAAGCTTCAAAACTTCGCATGTCAAATTTTCTGAAGGTGTTAACATCGTAGATATTTTTACGCCTAGAAATATAAAATGTCGTGCCAAAAAAGCATTTGCGGGAAGTTTTAATTCATTACTAGTAACGTGAAAAAAATCCGCATTGTTAACCGGTACGCCTGGTAAAACCAGTTTTTTTGTTCGAGGGCGCCGCCTTGTGGACATCTCTGGAATTGCATGAGGTTCAAACATTTTTTTAGACCCATCACATTGCAAACTACAGACAAGTTACAAGTATAGACAGACCTCTCTCTCTCCATGAGCGATCTGACATCACCCATGTGACACCCTACCACCTCCCAAGTATTTTAATTTTTTTTCCTCCCAAATACTTCCGAGGCGATTTCCTATAAATCAGGGCCTTCTCCGGCACAACCATCAGAGTCAGGAAGTTCACACTGAGCGTCTTCACGGTCCAGTCCTCTGACGGGGTCACATGTGGCCCGTCGTCCCAGGAAGGCCCTTCGCAGGCGACCAGAGACCCCGCTGCACCCCCTTCCCGGGAGAGCCCCCCTGTGCATTGAGTCTTCATTTCTCGCCAGTCCCCTTCCTGGAACCTTTAAAAGACTCGCGTGCTTAACACTTTGCTTAACCAGCGGATAAAAATGTCTAGAATCAGGGCCTCTCCAGACTCCAGCGACCCCCCAGGATCGCAACCAGAACCGGGGACGTAGCCCAGGCGCCCCAGGACCTCTGAACCGCAAGAGGTCGGGAGCCTGGCTCTTCCATTGTTTAGGCCTGGGCGCCTCTGCAGGGGCCGATGAACCCATAGCACCTCAGAGCAAATGCAGTGCTAACGGTAAGTTAATAACAGAGTTAACAGCCCACAGCGAAGGCGTCTGTTTCTTTCCTGGGCACAGCGATGACACATGGGTGCTGCCTGGCCGGTGTGGTTCAGTGGTTGAGCTTTGACCTATGAACCGGAAGGTCACGGGTTCCATTCCTGGCTCGATTCCGGGTTGGGGGTGCAGGAGCCAGCCGATAAGTGATTCTATCATGGATGTCTCTCTCTCTCTCTCTCTCTTTCTCTCTCTCTCTCTCTCTCAAATCAAAAAATATTACAAGAGAGAGAGAGAACAGGGCGGCTGTGTGCAGCCTGGAGGGCTCCGGTTTGGGTTGGCCTGACAGGTCAGTGGGGCAGCGGCCGGCAGCCTGGGTGGAGTCAGAAAAATTAGTGCCTTGGGAGGCCCCTGTCTGGGGGCAGCCTGACATTGGCTGCAGGTTCACAGGCTGAGGGTGAGGGTTGGAGAGCAGAGTCCCTCCTGGAGCCTCGAGTACCTGGAAAACGTCCTTTTTGTCTCTGTCTTTTGAGCTTTGATTGCAAAGGAGACCATTAAAACAACCGCATGCCCTGGGGACAGTGTTGCTCAGTGGTTGAGCTTCGATTTATGACCAGGAGGTCATGGTTGTAGATACCCAGTCAGGGCCCAGGTTGTGGGCTCCATCCCCAGTGTGGGGTGTACAGGAGGCAGCTGATCCATGATTCTCTCTCATCACTGGTGTTTCACTCTGCCCCTCTGAGATCAATAGCATATTTTTTAAAAGCAGATAGAAAACCTTTTTTAAAACCCAGCAAGCTAAATGGCAAGTACCAGTACACATATACTGATATATTTTCGATTTGAAATGTATGCTATTTTGTTGTATTGACAAGCTTCAAAACTTCCTATGTCCAATTTTCTGAAGGTGTTAACATCATAGATATTTTTACGCCTAAAAATGTCGAATTTGTTGTAAAAAAAAAATCATTTGCGGGAAGTTTTAATTCATTACTAGTAACTATTGAAAAAAATCCACATTATTAACCGGTAAACCTGGTGTAATCAGATTTGTGGTCCGAGCGCGCCGTCTTGTGGACATCTTTGGAATTGCACGAGGTTTGTTTAAATTTTTTTTAAACAATGCAAACTACAGAAAAGTTATTGGTAAAGAGAACTCTTCATGAGCGATCTGACATCACCCATGTGACACCCTACCACCTCCCAAGTATTTTAATTTTTTTTTCCTCCCAAATACTTCCGAGGCGATTTCCTATAAACAAGGGCCTTCTCCTGCACAACCATCAGAGTCAGGAAGTTCACGCTGAGCGTCTCTACGGTCCAATCCTCTGACGGGGTCACATGTGGCCTGTTGTCCCAGGAAGGCCCTTCGCAGGCGGCCAGAGACCCCGCTGCACCCACTTCCCGGGAGAGGCACCCTGTGCATTGAGTCTTCATTTCTCGCCAGTCCTTTTCCTGGAACCTTTAAAAGACTCGCGTGCTTAACACTTTGCTTAACCAGCGGATACAACGTCTAGAATCAGGGCCCCTCTAGACTCCAGAGACGCCCCAGAAACGCAACCAGAACCGGGGACGTAGCCCAGGCGCCCCAGGACCTCCGAACCACAAGAGATCTGGAACCTGGCTCTTCCATTGTTAGGCCTAAGCGCCGAGCGGCGAGCGCGAAAATCGTCCCAATCAATCAATGCTGCCTGTGGGCGGGCACAAGGCGGTGCACGCCTTGAAGCGCGTCATGCGTCGGCCGCGGTTCATGCCGGGAAGTGTGTCAGCGGCTGCGTGGCGTCATACCGGAAGTGTGTCATGGGTCGGACGCGAGGGATGCTGGGAAGTGCGTCTTTCGTCTGTCGTAAAGCACGCCGGAAGTGTGGCAGCGTTGCCCCGGGGCATGCCGGTAGATGCGTCTTGGGGATGGCGTAGGTCTATTCCGGAAGTGTGTCAATAGGGGATCGGGCACGCCGGAAAGTATGTCGTTTGCCGGCGCGGGGCTCGCCGGGAAGTGTGTCTGGTAACGGGCCTGAGCCACGCCGGGCGGTCTGTCTGGCGGGAGGTCCCGGGCGCCGCGGAGCGGGAGCAGGAGGCGGCAGGATGGTGAAGCTGACGGCGGAGCTGATCGAGCAGGCGGCGCAGACACCAAC